TACGTACTTCTTTCTCACTTGATTAATTTTACCCTTTTTTAATATAATTAACGGAACCTTGGATAGATTATGTCTCCATCACATGGAGCTTGAAAATAAAACATCGTTAAATCTGACAAGAACTTATTGATTTTCAGGTATATACCATCTTTAATTAGTGGCATAATCTGCATTGAATTTCATTTCTCTATTGACATTCACTTCACAGATGTTTGTTGTTACATCCAAAAATTTCAGTATTTCTGCAGTGTCTTCGTTAAAAAAAATTAATAGAGTACAGCAGGGCTGAGCGATTATTATTATTATCTATTATTATTATTATTATTATTATTATTATTATTATTATTATTATTATTATTATTATTATTATTATTATTATTATTATTATTATTTTTATTATTATTATTTTAAAACAAGCTCTAAGCCCGTATTGGTCATACAGATTTTTCTTTTTTTGTGTGTGTCCATAGCATCTACTGAATATACATTTAGGATATAATTCCCCTTCCCCAAATTGTATGTTATATGCATTAAACCTTGAATAACAACTTACTAAATCTTGGGACGAGTGGAAATGTGTTCTTACACCTGTTTTCCCTTCTCACGAAGCAGGATGTTACCAGACTGACTTGGGTGGCATCCTGGGAAAGAGAATCACAGGACCCCACTGAAAACAAGCTACAATGTATATTTTTTGGAGGTTATTGTGGGACACTGATAATTACTGGATCACTGATACATGCTGGATCACTGATACATGCTGGGTCACTGATACATGCTGGATCACTGATACATGCTGGATCACTGATACATGCAGGATCACTGATACATGCTGGATCACTGATACATGCTGGGTCACTGATACATGCTGGGTCACTGATACATGCAGGATCACTGATACATGCTGTGTCACTGATACATGCTGGATCACTAACACATGCTGGATCACTGATACATGCTGGATCACTGATACATGCTGGATTACTGATACATACTGGAATCACTGATACGATGCTGGATCACTGATACATGCTGGATCACTGATACATGCTGGATCACTGATACATGCTGGATCACTGATACATGCTGGATCACTGATACATGCTGGATCACTGATACATACTGGATTACTGATACATACTGGATCACTGATACATGCTGGGTCACTGATACATGCTGGATCACTGATACATGCTGGTCATTACATCTAACACATGCTGGATCACTGATACATGGCTGATGGTCACTGATACATGCTGGATCACTGATACATGCTGGGTCACTAACACATGCTGGATCACTGATACATGCTGGATCACTAACACATGCAGGATCACTGATACATGCTCGATCACTGATACATGCTGGATCACTGATATGTATACATGCTGGATCACTGATACATGCTGGATCACTGATGCATATGCTGATCACTGATACATGCTGGATCACTGATACATACTGGATCTACATGGATAACATTACTGCGTCGATCATGATACATGCTGGGTCACTGATACATGCTGGATCACTGATACATGCTGGATCACTGATACATGCTGGGTCACTAACACATGCTGGATCACTGATACATGCTGGATCACTGATACATGCTGGATCACTGATACATGCTGGATCACTGATACATGCTGGATCACTGATACATGTTGGATCACTGATACATGCTGGATCACTGATACATACTGGGTCACTGATACATACTGGGTTACTGATACATGCTGGATCACTGATACATGCTGGGTCACTAACACATGCTGGATCACTGATACATGCTGGATCACTGATACATGCTGGATCACTGATACATGTTCCTTTGCTATGTTGGATCACTGATACATGCTGGGTCACTAACACATGCTGGATCACTGATACATGCTGGATCACTGATACATGCTGGATCACTGATACATGCTGGATCACTGATACATGCTGGGTCAACAGTGATACATGCTGTGATCACTGATACATGCTGGGTCACTGATACATACTGGGTCACTGATACATGCTGGGTCACTGATACATGCTGGGTCACTGATACATGCTGGGTCACTGATACATGCTGGATCACTGATACATGCTGGCGTACATGCTGATACTACTGGGTCACTGATACATGCTGGGTCACTGATACATGCTGGATCACTGATACATGCTGGGTCACTAACACATTCTGGATCACTGATACATGCTGGATCACTGATACATGCTGGATCACTGATACATGCTGGATCACTGATACATGCTGGGTCACTGATACATACTGGGTCACTGATACATGCTGGGTCACTGATATGTGCTGGATCACTGATACATGCTGGATCACTAACACATGCTGGATCACTGATACATGCTGGATCACTGATACATGCTGGATCACTGATGCATGCTGGGTCACTAACACATGCTGGATCACTGATACGTACTGGATCACTGATACATGCTGGATCACTGATACATGCTGGATCACTGATACATGCTGGGTCACTGATACATGCTGGATCACTGAATACATGCTGGATTACTGATACATGCTGGATCACTGATACATGCTGGATCACTGATACATGCTGGATCACTGATACATGCTGGATTACTGATACATGCTGGATCACTGATACATGCTGGATCACTGATACATGCTGGATCACTGATACATGCTGGATCACTGATACATGCTGGGTCACTGATACATACTGGGTCACTGATACATGCTGGGTCACTGATACATGCTGGGTCACTGATACATGCTGGATCACTGATACATGCTGGATCACTGATACATGCTGGGTCACTGATACATGCTGGGTCACTGATACATGCTGGGTCACTGATACATGCTGGATCACTGATACATGCTGTGTCACTGATACATGCTGGATCACTAACACATGCTGGATCACTGATACATGCTGGGTCACTGATACATGCTGGGTCACTGATACATGCTGGATCACTGATACATGCTGTGTCACTGATACATGCTGGATCACTAACACATGCTGGATCACTGATACATGCTGGGTCACTGATACATGCTGGGTCACTGATACATGCTGGATCACTGATACATGCTGGGTCACTGATACATTACTGGGGTCACTGATACATTGCTGGGTCACTGATATATGCTGGATCACTGATACATGCTGGATCACTAACATGCTGGATCACTGATACATGCTGGGTCACTGATACATGCTGGGTCACTATACATGCTGGGTCACTGATATATGCTGGATCACTGATATATGCTGGATCACTGATACATGCTGGATCACTTGATACATGCTGGATCACTGATACATGCTGGATCACTGATACATGCTGGATCACTGATACATGCTGGATCACTGATACATGCTGGATCACTGATACATGCTGGATCACTGATGCATGCTGGGTCACTAACACATGCTGGATCACTGATACGTACTGGATCACTGATACATGCTGGATCACTGATACATGCTGGATCACTGATACATGCTGGGTCACTGATACATGCTGGATCACTGATACATGCTGGATTACTGATACATGCTGGATCACTGATACATGCTGGATCACTGATACATGCTGGATCACTGATACATGCTGGATTACTGATACATGCTGGATCACTGATACATGCTGGATCACTGATACATGCTGGATCACTGATACATGCTGGATCACTGATACATGCTGGGTCACTGATACATACTGGGTCACTGATACATGCTGGATCACTGATACATGCTGGGTCACTGATACATGCTGGATCACTGATACATGCTGGATCACTGATACATGCTGGGTCACTGATACATGCTGTGTCACTGATACATGCTGGGTCACTGATACATGCTGGATCACTGATACATGCTGTGTCACTGATACATGCTGGATCACTAACACATGCTGGATCACTGATACATGCTGGATCACTGATACATGCTGGGTCACTGATACATGCTGGATCACTGATACATGCTGGTCACTGATACATGCTGGATCACTAAACATGCTGGATCACTGATACATGCTGGGTCACTGATACATGCTGGGTCACTGATACATGCTGGATCACTGATACATGCTGGGTCACTGATACATACTGGGTCACTGATACATGCTGGGTCACTGATACATGCTGGATCACTGATACATGCTGGATCACTAACACATGCTGGATCACTGATACATGCTGGGTCACTGATACATGCTGGGTCACTCATACATGCTGGGTCACTGATATATGCTGGATCACTGATATATGCTGGATCACTGATACATGCTGGATCACTGATACATGCTGGATCACTGATACATGCTGGATCACTGATACATGCTGGATCACTGATACATGCTGGATCACTGATACATGCTGGATCACTGATACATGCTGGATCACTGATACATGCTGGATCACTGATACATGCTGGATCACTGATACATGCTGGATCACTGATTACATGCTGGGATCACTGATACATGCTGGATCACTGATACATGCTGGATCACTGATACATGCTGGATCACTGATACATGCTGGATCACTGATACATGCTGGATCACTGATACATGCTGGATCACTGATACATGCTGGATCACTGATACATGCTGGATCACTGATACATAATGAATCAGTCAGCATGTTGATCTCTGTTTAATAACTGCAGAATGCTTCTCTTGGTCGGCTTCAAACCTTAATTAGATAAAATTTTAGACTGAAGGTTTTGTCTGCAAGAAGTGTCATAAATACATTAGCATTATATAATGAATTTAGGAATTAACAGCAATATTTTTAATTTTTATTATGAAACTCGTTAATTACAAATGCAGTTTGTAACTACAAATATTTTGATCAATAACATCGCTGATTAACTCACAGGTAAACATTATCATCTGATGACCAGTTTATACAAATTTAATCAGGAACATGGATAAAAAATGTGACCTTATTAAGTCCATGGAAAATATCTCAGTAGCAAATATATCTAATATATTACATATATATATATATAATATATATATTATATTATATATATATAAAATATATATATATATATATATATTAGCCTTGTTCAAGTGGCTTACATTTACGGTCTTATTAATATTATTGCTTATTATCTATTTATTTTTTAATCATGGAAAAACGCTAAACCTGTAGGTAAGTCACTCGTGCCGGCTGAGCGGCTAGTTTATTGTGCTCCCGCAGCTCGTCCTGTGAACGCTAGAGTAACAAGACCAGAATTACAGAGGTCACAAGGGGCGTTCTTCAGACTCAATTCTGTAACGTTATATCTTTAAACATATAAATGTTATTTCATATATTACAATTTATATTTTACTAAGCTGAGCTAATCTACACAATTCAGTATGGATATAAAATTGCAGTCAGTTTTAAGCATCTTATTACCACTAAAATCATTTATCATTATTGGTTTACGGTCTGATGAAGTAACAGATGACTGACCTCGCCAGTGCAACGTGTGGATACAACCTCGAGATTTCAGATTTTGGGATTATAGTGCTCCTGGAGGATGGGAGGTAAAGAGGAGTGATCTGAGGGAGACAAGAGTAGTTCCAGCCGACTGTGATGTTAGGCGCATGTGCGGTGTTAAAATTTTTCGGTAAGGGGAACGCTTCGCCACGAGGAATGGAGAAACTCTTCACAGCGAAACGTTTCCTCCGTAAAATATCCTGACATTGTACATGTGTCTTATTTCATATTTATGGGTAATTTATATCATAACTTCTCCAGTAAACTCTATGAAGACTCCTTCGTAAACCTGAGGATACTTCCCTCCAGGTGTTTGACACTTCCCTCCATTTGTCTCACACTTCCCTCCAGGTGTCTCACACTTCCCTCCAGGTGTCTCACACTTCCCTCCAGGTGTCTCACACTTCCCTCCAGGTGTCTGACACACAATATGTTCAGACCTGCCCTTTAATTAGCTTTTGAACAATTCTACTAACGTGTAACATTTGACACAACTGAGTCAAGTTTCTGTCTGTTACGAATACAAAATCAGTAAGAGTCTCCGAACCTTGAAAATACGTTAAACCCGTATGGGTCACACCCTAAGCCGGAAGAATGTACTACTTAGCTCACATGGACAGTTCTCAGATATACAGGAGAATCATTTATTTGCTACAAAAACACTGCAGTCAATGTTACTTGCACAAAGTGATGTTAATGTTGCTGGCAATAGATGCTGTTAATATTGCTCATACAAGATGCTGTTAACGTTGATCATACAAGATGCAGTTAATGTGGCTCATACAAGATGCTGTCGATGAAGTCAATGTGGTCAGCTACGCTGGTAAAGATGCCAGGCATGATAGATTCCTTCTCACAGCTGCCAGCGTAGCTAGCGATCCCCACCAGGTAGAGCTGACCTTGCTTGTTCTTCAAGGAGAGTGGACCTCCCTCGTCACCCTGTCAGAGACACAGATGCCCGATCAGAATCATTATTATTATTACTATTACATTCACGGGGTTAGCCGTGAGAACCACAGGGGCCATGTAGATCACTGCGAATGGGAAGCAATGAAGTTCGATCACGGGAAGGGGAGGAGAGGTTCACTTCCAGGATTAAGAACCCCTCACCATCAACAAAGTACCTGAAGAATGAGACACTTCTGCAACATTTGGGAATCTTTATTGTGGTAACATTTCGCCAATCAATGGCTTCTTCAGTCCAATGTTGCAAGTGTGTCTCATTTCGCCAGTCAATGGCTTCTTCAGTCCAATGTTGCACCGTGTCTCATCACCTTGTTGATTTTTTAACCCATTTACGTCATACAAACAAGGTACCTCCCTCTCACGTTTATTTAGTAATAGAACTTATGATTAACTCACTTTACATAATCCTCTGCCCTCGTAGCCAGCACACATGACGTCTCTGCCCTGCAGCAGCTTCGGGTAAGCAACCTGCAGCTGCTTCTTCAGGTTCTTCTCTTCGTACACTTCCTCACACTTGGCTGAGGATATTACCTTCAAATCCGCCTCTTGCAGGATGGGAGATTTATGGGCTGTGAAACAGCATAATTTAGTAAGTTAGGTTAGATGTGACACTGCTTGGTTTATTTGTGTTATTCAGATATATTTGAAATTCGAAGACCTAGATTAAACAGAACGTTTTTGTTTCGATATTGGTCATCTTTTATGTTTGGTAATTGTTCTTTATTGTTTTAGCACTGATGATGGAGTTTGATATTCCGAAATGTTTGAATGATAAATGAAGATCTTAAGAAATTTTGGGAAATTCTGGAAAGTTTGTGAAATTTTGATTCCCGTTCAGTCTTTATGATCAAAATACACGCGTCTTCTTCTTCTGATTGAATAACTTCACCGTTTAATGGCTGATGCGTCTTACGGCCAGGATAATTTGCAGTTAATTTGAGTGTGGGCAAATTTGTTAATGCAATATGTGTTTTAAACATGGAATCTTTGCATTTATCAAATTGGATATACTTCAAAACAAACATTTTTTTTTCTTAAAAACTGTAGAGAATTTTAAAACTTATACAAATGCAAAAAAAAAAAAAAAAAGAAAAAGAAAATTTTTAAATATTGAAAATCGCATTTTTATGGTATTTTTAAATTGCCTGAGTTGAGTGAACCTTAAATACTACACGACGTGATGCCAGAGCCGGCCACCTGTTAGCTACAAGTTTCTGGTTCCATCTAAGGTTTTCACTTATAACTTCACAACGCTTTATTTAATCGCTTTCGGATTTCAACCCCTGGTCAGCTATTACGAGGTGAAGGTTCATAAAACAAGTGACAGGCGCAGGTGCTCTATACACAACTTTATACTGACCATATCCAAAATTAGTTTACACGAGACTGTTTATTAAAGATTCAAATCAATAAACAGGTCTTTTACAAGTGTTATAACAGTAAGCCATATAAATGACCGTTTTTAACACAATTTTTTATTGCAGTTTTCCATAGCCAGCGAGCACGAAGCCTTTATTAAAATACTCATATTGAAGTTTAAACTGCATGAAAAGGTTTTATGGTAGCAAAAATGAAGTTTAAAATTGAGTTGGTGCTGGGATGACACACACACACACACACACACACAACTCTGGGGCAACATAAACAAACCTACAGATATTCCAGATATTCTTATCAGTTGGTTATGATATAAATGATTATTGGAACATCAAGTTAAGGACGATTACTTTTTATTTCCTATTGTATTCAAGTCTGAGTTTCTCATTCGACTGACTTCAAACCTTCAGCCCAACAACTTGATAATGCAACTTCTGACCGCCTTCAAACTTAATGTTAGATGATTATGGAACATTGATCTAAGTGAGATAACTACAAAATGCCTCTTCAGCTTGGTTTTAAACTTTTAAAGCTGATCTTTGTCGAAGAAAAGTTGGAATTTGTGTTGGGATATTAGTTTCCATGTGATAACTTGTGAACGTTTTTTCCCTTTCACATAAAACCCTCAATGCTAATGTTTAATTGCGTTACAAACTCATGCCGCACTCTGCACTACGCCTTTCGCATGCACCGAGGTGCAGAGAACTAGGGTTATGCTACAAGTGGATACCTTTCTCGGATAGTGCAGTGACCTAAATATATCTAGCTTTCCTTTCGCTTAAAAGCAAGATGGGGAAAAGAGTAGCGTGTCCGTATCTTGCTTATTGCAGGGAGGATCATGATCACTGAATGACCCACACGGGTTGCATGCAAATTATTTATAAAACCAAGACTGAACTCACTCTCATTGACGAGGCCAAAGCCTGAACCTGTAACCCAGGAGTCCGTAGGGGGTCGAACGCCGGCGACGCAGTAAGGAAATACCACTTTATTGAATTCTATCTTCTCACTTGTCTGCAGCAACGCTACGTCATTGTAGCGTACCGGCGAGGCGGGGCTGTGGAGGAGGAAATGGTGGCTGGTAGGTGTGGTTGTGACGTGGTGGATGGTAGGTGTGGTTGTGACGTGGTGGATGGTAGGTGTGGTTGTGACGTGGTGGATGGTAGGTGTGGTTGTGACGTGGTGGATGGTAGGTGTGGTAGTGACGTGATGGATGGTAGGTGTGGTTGTGACGTGGTGGATGGTAGGTGTGGTTGTGACGTGGTGGATGGTAGGTGTGGTTGTGACGTGGTGGATGGTAGGTATGGTTTTGACGTGGTGGATGGTAGGTGTGGTTGTGACGTGATGGATGGTAGGTGTGGTTGTGACGTGGTGGCTGGTAGGTGTGGTTGTGACGTGGTGGATGGTAGGTGTGGTTGTGACGTGGTGGATGGTAGGTGTGGTTGTGACGTGGTGGATGGTAGGTGTGGTTGTGACGTGGTGGATGGTAGGTGTGGTTGTGACGTGATGGATGGTAGGTGTGGTTGTGACGTGGTGGATGGTAGGTGTGGTTGTGACGTGGTGGATGGTAGGTGTGGTTGTGACGTGATGGATGGTAGGTGTGGTTGTGACGTGATGGATGGTAGGTGTGGTTGTGACGTGGTGGATGGTAGGTGTGGTTGTGACGTGATGGATGGTTAGGTGTGGTTGTGACGTGGTGGATGGTAGGTGTGGTTGTGACGTGGTGGATGGTAGGTGTGGTTGTGACGTGATGGATGGTAGGTGTGGTTGTGACGTGGTGGATGGTAGGTGTGGTTGTGACGTGGTGGATGGTAGGTGTGGTTGTGACGTGGTGGATGGTAGGTGTGGTTGTGACGTGATGGATGGTAGGTGTGGTTGTGACGTGATGGATGGTAGGTGTGGTTGTGACGTGATGGATGGTAGGTGTGGTTGTGACGTGGTGGATGGTAGGTGTGGTTGTGACGTGGTGGATGGTAGGTGTGGTTGTGACGTGGTGGATGGTAGGTGTGGTTGTGACGTGGTGGATGGTAGGTGTGGTTGTGACGTGATGGATGGTAGGTGTGGTTGTGACGTGGTGGATGGTAGGTGTGGTTGTGACGTGGTGGATGGTAGGTGTGGTTGTGATGTGGTGGATGGTAGGTGTGGTTGTGACGTGGTGGATGGTAGGTGTGGTTGTGACGTGGTGGATGGTAGGTGTGGTTTGTGACGTGATGGATGGTAGGTGTGGTTGTGACGTGGTGGATGGTAGGTGTGGTTGTGTGACGTGGTGGATGGTAGGTGTGGTTGTGACGTGGTGGATGGTAGGTGTGGTTGTGACGTGGTGGATGGTAGGTGTGGTTGTGACGTGATGGATGGTAGGTGTGGTTGTGACGTGGTGGGATGGTAGGTGTGGTTGTGACGTGGTGGATGGTAGGTGTGGTTGTGACGTGGTGGATGGTAGGTGTGGTTGTGACGTGGTGGATGGTAGGTGTGGTTGTGGTGAGTGGTGGATGGTAGGGTGTGGTAGTGACGTGGTGGATGGTAGGTGTGGTTGTGACGTGATGGATGGTAGGTGTGGTTGTGACGTGATGGATGGTAGGTGTGGTTGTGACGTAGTGGATGGTAGGTGTGGTTGTGACGTGGTGGATGGTAGGTTGTGTTGTGACGTGGTGGATGGTAGGTGTGGTTGTGACGTGGTGGATGGTAGGTGTGGTTGTGACGTGGTGGTGGTAGGTGTGGTTGTGACGTGGTGGATGGTAGGTGTGGTTGTGACGTGATGGATGGTAGGTGTGGTTGTGACGTGGTGGATGGTAGGTGTGGTTGTGACGTGATGGATGGTAGGTGTGGTTGTGACGTGATGGATGGTAGGTATGGTTGTGACGTGGTGGATGGTAGGTGTGGTTGTGACGTGATGGATGGTAGGTGTGGTTGTGACGTGGTGGATGGTAGGTGTGGTTGTGACGTGGTGGATGGTAGGTGTGGTTGTGACGTGGTGGATGGTAGGTGTGGTTGTGACGTGATGGATGGTAGGTGTGGTTGTGACGTGGTGGATGGTAGGTGTGGTTGTGACGAGGTGGATGGTAGGTGTGGTTGTGACGTGGTGGATGGTAGGTGTGGTTGTGACGTGGTGGATGGTAGGTGTGGTTGTGACGAGGTGGATGGTAGGTGTGGTTGTGACGTGGTGGATGGTAGGTGTGGTTGTGACGAGGTGGATGGTAGGTGTGGTTGTGACGTGGTGGATGGTAGGTGTGGTTGTGACGTGGTGGATGGTAGGTGTGGTTGTGACGAGGTGGATGGTAGGTGTGGTTGTGACGTGGTGGATGGTAGGTGTGGTTGTGACGTGGTGGATGGTAGGTGTGGTTGTGACGTGATGGATGGTAGGTGTGGTTGTGACGTGGTGGATGGTAGGTGTGGTTGTGACGTGGTGGATGGTAGGTGTGGTTGTGACGTGGTGGATGGTAGGTGTGGTTGTGACGTGATGGATGGTAGGTGTGGTTGTGACGTGTGGATGGTTGTGGAGGTATGTGGTTGTGACGTGGTGGATGGTAGGTGTGGTTGTGACGTGGTGGATGGTAGGTGTGGTTGTGACGTGTGGATGGTAGGTTGGTTGTGACGTGGTGGATGGTAGGTGTGGTTGTGACGTGGTGGATGGTAGGTGTGGTTGTGACGTGGTGGATGGTAGGTGTGGTTGTGACGTGGTGGATGGTAGGTGTGGTTGTGACGTGGTGGATGGTAGGGTTTGTGAGTTTGTGGGACGTGGTGGATGGTAGGTGTGGTTGTGACGTGGTGGATGGTAGGTGTGGTGTGACGTGGTGGATGGTAGGTGTTGTGTTTGTGGTGGTGGGATGGTAGGTGTGGTTGTGACGTGGTGGATGGTAGGTGTGGTTGTGACGTGGTGGATGGTAGGTGTGGTTGTGACGTGGTGGATGGTAGGTATGGTTGTGACGTGGTGGATGGTAGGTGTGGTTGTGACGTGGTGGATGGTAGGTGTGGTTGTGACGTGGTGGATGGTAGGTGTGGTTGTGACGGTGGGTTGGGATGGTAGGTGTGGTTGTGACGTGGTGGATGGTAGGTGTGGTTGTGACGTGGTGGATGGTAGGTGTGGTTGTGACGTGGTGGATTGGTTTGGTGTGTGGTTGTGAGTGGGTTGGATTGGTATGGGTGTGGTTGTGACGTGGTGGATGGTAGGTGTGGTTGTGACGTGGTGATGGTAGGTGTGGTTGTGACGTGGTGGATGGTAGGTGTGGTTGTGACGTGATGGATGGTAGGTGTGGTTGTGACGTGGTGGATGGTAGGTGTGGTTGTGACGTGGTGGATGGTAGGTGTGGTTGTGACGTGGTGGATGGTAGGTGTGGTTGTGACGTGGTGGATGGTAGGTGTGGTTGTGACGTGGTGGATGGTAGGTGTGGTTGTGACGTGGTGGATGGTAGGTGTGGTTGTGACGTGGTAGATGGTAGGTGTGGTTGTGACGTGGTGGATGGTAGGTGTGGTTGTGACGTGTGGATGGTAGGTGTGGTTGTGACGTGGTGGATGGTAGGTGTGGTTGTGACGTGGTGGATGGTAGGTGTGGTTGTGACGTGGTGGATGGTAGGTGTGGTTGTGACGTGGTGGATGGTAGGTGTGGTTGTGACGTGGTGGATGGTAGGTGTGGTTGTGACGTGGTAGATGGTAGGTGTGGTTGTGACGTGGTGGATGGTAGGTGTGGTTGTGACGTGATGGATGGTAGGTGTGGTTGTTGACGTGGTGGATGGTAGGTGTGGCTGTGACGTGGTGGATGGTTAGGTTGTGGTTGTGACGTGGTGGATGGTAGGTGTGGTTGTGACGTGGTGGATGGTAGGTGTGGTTGTGACGTGGTGGATGGTAGGTGTGGTTGTGACGTGGTGGAAGAAAGACATAGCGAAGGTTGGTTCATATTTATGTCTAATTATTATGTTCCTCTTGGACTCTTGAGATCCTGTTATGAATTATTATTAATATAAACTGGATGATCATGTAAACTGTTGTATATAATACAAAAAAGTAATGGTAGCACATGTGACCTATGTATCTTTACTAGACACACGTATCGTCCGCACACCGGGTTTTTACAATCTAATCAAGGACCATAAGGATGATAATATTTATAGCGGAGCTAGATAAGAAGTGGTGAGCTGTAGCAGTTGCTACGTGGCTACAAGTGAGCTGGGCCACTTAGTGGATCATAAGGTTATCAATAGAGTTCTCCGTGGTGTTGCTCAGTGTGTTTTATCATCAATTGTCAGTGCTGTGTATCTTTGATTATGATACATGTTGGTTTAGAGCAACATCAGGACAATGTTGCAGAGGTAACAATCAGAGTATGAGGGGAATTTTCTCAGAGGATAGTACGTGAGTGAATCCTCCAGCGTCCCAGAAATGCGAGACCACGGCGAATGAACAATCACACCCCACGTCCTGGTATTCACTAGGGGATTAGAGCACAACTTTGTAGTACCCACAGTATGTGGCAGGTTCAAACACTTTATTGTACTGCAATAAAGGAATAGGAACAGACTACCCGCACATGTCAAAGCCAGTCATGAGATTGAACCAGTTTCAATGAAGAGTGCCAAAAGGTGTCTGATGATGTAGCTACAGAAGGGAGGGAAGATTTCTACTTTTTTAGCTATAATAGTGTAAATTTTTTACTTATTCTTGTTAATGACCTCGTATTGTAGATAGTCATTAATGACCTGTAGTCGAGATAGTCTTTTTAGTATGATATATAATATGATGTATCTTATCTGTAGTAAAATAAGAAATATTATAACTTTACTACTATAATCAGATAAGGTAAAAGGACCCCAATGGAAATAAGTCACTCTGTCTGACTTTTTTGGGTTATCCTAGGTTCCCTACACATATGCTGCTATGTATGATAATTCTATGTAACTGTATTTGTGTATACCTGAATAAACTTACTTACTTACTTACTTACTTACACAAACTTGGAGGTCCAGCCTACCCAACCCCATATAGGGTGGGGTGTGGGGGGGGCACGTGGGTGTGTGGTACTTGGCCGTGGCTTTCGTATGTCTGAGAGAGACGCTGGAGGAGTCATTCACACTTCTATCCTCTGAGAAAACTTGCCCTCATTACTCCTGTTGCTACCTTGGCAATATTACACAGCTCCTGATGACGCACTGAGAAGTGTGAAAGTTCTTGAGCTTAAGATTTCCACCCCCCCCGTGGCTTGTCTTCCATTTGTATGTATATATATGTATTTTATATATATATATTATATATATATATATATATATATATATATATATATATATATATATATATATATATATATATATATATATATATATATATATATATATGCCGGTAAGTACTCCCCCTTGTAAAAAAAATAAGGTTAAATGTCACTTACTCATAGTCAGGATGAACGAAGATGGTTTCAATACTGTAGTCTCTGGGGCGAGAGTTGGTTTCGTTCTCCTGTGAAAAGTCTAGTTCTCCCAGCCTCACTGAACTCAGCCTAGAGAGAGAAGCAAGACAAACCATCCTTGTTATTATTATTATTATTATTATTATTATTATTATTATTATTATATTATTATTATTATTATTATTATTATTATTATTATTATTATTATTATTATTATTTAGTGACTTTTGTACGGTGTGCGTCTAAAAACTTAGTGCATATGAACGTTATATTGTGTTAAGTTATAATGTACGTTAAAATAGTGTGGAGAGAGAGAGAGAGAGAGAGAGAGAGAGAGAGAGAGAGAGAGAGAGAGAGAGAGAGAGAGAGAGAGAGAGAGACAGAGAGAGAGAGAGAGAGAGAGAGAGAGAGAGAGAGAGAGAGAGAGAGACTAGATACTCACGGGTGGTCGGGGTCGAAGACACAGTACGCTGCCGTCAGCAGGAACCTGTCTGAGATTGGTGTAGCTCCACAGAATGTGTCCTTAATACTCAGCTTCACTGTTTGACCGGTTCGTAGATTTCATAAATGAAAGAGAGAACTTAATTTTAAATGAGTTCTTGCTAATTGACCAATTTTATCTATTCGGCACGACATATATAATGCATACACAGGGTCACTTAACATCTCCCATATATGTTTCTTACTCTGAGAAGTTAAGAGCCTTTAACTGCACTTTAATTAAGTTCAAAATAACTCGAGATATACTTAATATAGTCAAAATAAACTGGTTGAGAACAGTACCAGGAGCTGTAGTGGATGTGGAGTCTTCAGTTTTGGTGCTCTGCGGGAGAGAAACATCACAGTCTGGGTAACTGCATTATTTAATAAATCGAAGATGTTTCGCACAGTGACAAATGCATCATTACAATTATAATAAGTATTATGATTATTAGTCATACTACTGATATTATACTCATGAAGAAGGGCTAAGGAGGTAGGGGTCATAGTGCCTGGGACTGGGAGATAATCAGGTTCGATCCAAGAAAGGGGATGGTAGCTCCAATTTCTTGCATCAAGAGCCCTTCATTATGATCAAGACGCTTTGATGAGATTGTACTTATTATAGTTTCGATTAATTTTGTCTCTGTGTGAGCTATAATGTTTGATGTTGCCTCTGCGGGATATTTGGTGTATGTTTATGTACGTCACCTCGACCTGTGTGTGTGTGTGTGTGTGTGTGTGTGTGTGTGTGTGTGTGTGTGTGTGTGTGTGTGTGTGTGTGTGGTGTGTGTGTGTGGTGTGTGTGTGTGTGTGTGTGTGTGTGTATGTGGTGTGTGTGTGTGTGTGTGGTGTGTGTGGTGTGTGTGGGTGTGTGTGTGTGTGTGTGTGTGTGTGTGTGTGTGTCTGTGTGTGTGACCATTTTGTCCTAGGCACATGTTGATTAGACACTAGGCCTGTTGTATGTGTGTGTGTGTGTGTGTGTGTGTGTGTGTGTGTGTGTGTAGGTGTGTATGTGTATATGCGCGTGTGTGTGTAAGTGTGTGTACTTGTCTAGTTGAGGTTGCAGGGGTCGAGTCCAAGCTCCTGGCCCCTCCTCTTCACTGGTCGCCACTAGGTCACTCTCCCTGAACCATGAGCTTTATCGTACCTCTGCTTAAAGCTATGTATGGATCCTGCCTCCACTACATCTCTTCCCAAACTATTCCACTTCCTGACTACTCTGTGGCTGAAGAAATACTTCCTAACATCCCTGTGATTCATCTGTGTCTTCAGCTTCCAACTGTGTCCCCTTGTTGCTGTGTCCAGTCTCTGGAACATCCTGTCTTTGTCCACCTTGTCAATTCCTCTCAATATTTTGTAAGTCGTTAACATGTCCTCCCTATCTCTCCTGTCCTCCAGTGTGTGTGTGTGTGTGTGTGTGTACTCACCTATTTGTACTCACCTATTTGTGGTTGCAGGGGTCGAGTCATAGCTCCTGGCCCCGCCTCTTCGCTGATTGCTACTAGGTCCTCTCTCTCCCTGCCCCATGAGCTCTATCATACCTCGCCTTAAAACTATGTATGGTTCCTGCCTCCACCACATCACTTTCTAGGCTATTCCACGGCCTGACTACTCTATGACTGAAGAAATACTTCCTAACATCCCTTTGATTCATCTGAGTCTTCAACTTCCAATTGTGACCTCTTGTGTCTGTGTCCCATCTCTGGAACATCCCGTCTTTGTCCACCTCGTCTATTCCACGCAGTATTTTATATGTCGTTATCATGTCTCCCCTGACCCTCCTGGCCTCCAGTGTCGTCAGGCCGATTTCCCTCAACCTTTCTTCATAGGACAATCCCCGTAGCTCTGGGACTAGTCTTGTTGCAAACCTTTGCACTTTCTCTAATTTCTTGACGTGCGTGTGTGTGTGTGTGAATGCTGGTCAGTGACCTAGATGAGAATGGCTTCCCAGAGTAAGTGAAATTCTGGTAACGAACCACGAGCCTGTTCTCTCATCTGTCACTCCCATCCCTCACCCTCCACTCCCATCCTCACCTTCCACTCCCATCCCCCACCGTCCACTCCCATCCCTCACCCTCCACTCCCATCCCTCACCTTCCACTCCCATCTCTCACCCTCCACTCCCATCCCTCACCCTCCACTCCCATCTCTCACCCTCCACTCCCATCTCTCACCCTCTATTCCCATCCCATACCTGTCACTCCCATCCCTCCCCACCATTCCGCTGGGTACGTCTGTGGGGATATCCAAGGAGCCTGTACTTGTTGCCTGGGAAACCCAGAGTCCCGGACCACAAATAGAAGGAGCTCACCTTGACGCCGCGGTTCTGCTGCAGTGACCAAATTTACCCTTTATTATAATTTTTTCCCATATCACTGACATGGCTGAAAACGAAAATAATACAAGATCACACAGCCTGTTGTTGTTTGGAAAGTGTCTATATTTTGTTTTGTACTGGACGTATGAGCAACTGCGCCTGTACACACTACCTAAGCTTGAGTTGCCACACTTACTGCAGCACTCACAGTCAAGTTGTCAGGGCGCTGAATTAGCCCATGTAAATGTGCACTAACAGAGTTGTATTCATCGAGTGTTCTGTTTTCGTAGGGTTCGAATCTCAGCTCTTGGCCACCCCGCTCCTTAAGCTACAATCCCCGGCATAATATTGTATTCATGGGTTCTCAAAGGTGAACAATGAAGGCAGGGGGTGTGGGTAGTGGGTAGTTACCTGTGGGGTACCAAGCTGAGGATCTGCTTCTCTCCTCCGCCTGTTGGGGAGGCTTCCTGAAGGATTTCTAGGACGACTAGAGTCCCTGGTGAAGCTGGAGAAACTAGATCCTCTTGGTGCATTTGGAGTGCGCCTGGAGACTATTGGCACGCCACATGCTGGAAGACCACAAAACATCACATCTGTTCTCTTCACAATGTAACCCGAGTCTATTTACATAAATCAGAGGAATGTATACTTAGCGTTTAGTTGATATTTGGGTCTTTGCAATGTATACAATGATGTCCCCCTTATCGGACAGGTAAAAAATTTGTTTGCCATATATTTTCCGGATTGCAACATAACTTATATTAGAAATCTGTTTACATTGAGGTACTCTATCGACCCATAATAAAGAGATTTTGATTTATCGCTTTTCATACACCTCTTTCTCTATCACTCATCTTTTGTCAGTTCCCTTACTTTCATCTTTCACATGTGATTATGCATCTGCAGATTACCACAACCATGAACATCCCTTGTATCAGTGCAACCACCCAGACGAACAAGACCGACGCGACCAGCAAAAAACTTACGAAAACTAGGTTTGGTGATAGTGGGGCGCGAGTTAGGGCGCAAAGCGGGACCTGGAGAAGCACCCGACGAGGGTCTCGATGTGGGGTTGCAGAATCTGCAGGAAAGTGGACATAACTGCAGCATTTCTCTCTGATTGGAACTGCAGTTACCTCGATTAGCCAATATCTTGCACAGAACCGGCTCCTTATCCACGCACTCCCTGCCTGGCAGAGTAAGGTAAACACTTGTTTAAGGAGGAAAATAGATTCTATGGGACATTAAAATAAATATCTGAATTTCATTGGTTTCTGAATAACATAGTATCAATGTTTTACGCTAGTTGTGGTTTTCTAGCAGAGTAAGAGGAGTTTAGGCGAGACGATAAGAGAAGGGAAATACAGTAGATGTGATCCACTAGTCGTGGGTACTCACGGGTCTGGGCCTCTACGACGCTGAACAGAGCGTTCACCACGAACGCTAACACCCACGTCCACCTCAGTAACTGCTCCATCCTGCAGCTGCACCAGCAGGTACACCACCTGGCCGAGCTGCTGCTGCCTCTTCCACTTCACGACTCTTCTTACTGCTGCCTCAGCCACCTCACGACTCTTCTTACTGCTGCCTCAGCCACCTCACGACTCTTCTTACTGCTGCCTCAGCCACCTCACGACGCCGCACTTCTTTCCTATTGTTGGAAATCATTAAAGACTTTTAATACTTGGCCTTGCAAGCTGCAACTTATATTAGTTTATTGAAAAACAATTATAATTCTCTCATTGTTTCTGAATTAACCTTTTAAATGTGAACGTTACTGATGCTGTGCAGAAATATTTACAGTGCAAAATATATGCTGTGTCATAGCTAATTGCGAGTTTATTGTGTGTGTGTGTGTACTCACCTAGTTATACTCACCTAGTTGAGGTTGCAGGGGTCGAGTCACAGCTTGTGTGTGTGTGTGTGGTGTGTGTGTGTGTGTGTGTGTGTGTGTGTACTCACCTAGTTGTAGTTGCAGGAGTCGAATCACAGCTTGTGTGTGTGTGTGTGTGTGTGTGTGTGTGTGTGCCAACTATTTCCTATCATATCGTGATGCAATGTGCGTGGCCAGAATGTGTAATAACATTGCAGGCAACAGTTTTATATCTCTCGCCAGCTGACCTTAATGAAGTCTTCAGACCTTAATGAAGTCAAATGACTTTATTGATGAGTCTTGTGATCTTCCTAAAGAGTCTCGTGACCTTACTGAAGAGTACTGTGACCTTATGGAAGAGTCTTGTGACCTTACTGAAGAGTCTTGTATTATCTTCTCTTCCGGTGTACGTATATCCTCCAGAGCCAATTTGGGCACCTGGGAAAATCTCTCAACTTGGGACTGACTCACATTGGACTGTTTCATTTGGGACTGACTCACATGGGATTGCTTCACTCGGGACTGTTTCACTTGGGACTGACTTACACAGGACTGGTTTCACTTGGGACTGACTTACATGGGACTATTTCACTTGGGGTACACTAGTTGTATCACCACATGACTCATTGTGGGACAAACCCCACACTGAGTCCCTCCACAGGTGACTATCGTAAGATCTGTGAGATGGGTGTATGAGTGGACCTGACCCTTCTCTTGCTAAGACTCTTCAAGGGGTTGCCTTAGTGCCTGCTAGGAGCTCTTGACCAAAGGAATTAGAGCTACCCTTCCGTTTCTCAGATCATATCTGATTGTCTTCCATGGTAATGGTCATCCATGCTGTATAACCATTAGAGCTTCAGCGCTTCTCCATGAATTTAAAATAAATAATAAGACTTTGATTTCCGTATCAGAGTGCTTGTTGACAAACCCAGGGCCGGATGTACTATGAGACTAATGAAGCTTAAACTTGAGGGCACCAATCCCGGAGGAGCCCCAGAAGCGACTTTAGTCCACATTGCTTAAAAATTTGGGTCTACTGTATGAGAAGGGGTTGCGAAGGAGACCCCCATAACAGTTCAAGCTGCAGGGTCCCAGAAATATAGGTTCTCCACTGGACAAACTAGTTATGTTCCTCCAATAAGTCCACGTAAGACACATTTCACATTTACGTTCATAACACTTTACGCTGTAAGAAAGTCCTTCACACTCTTGGCGACGTAAACAGTGTGTACAGCCAGACAATTTCTCTTTAATATATTTAGATAGAACCTTGTTTGTACATTTATGAAATCATATAGTAGAAGTCTCTTGCGAGTTTAGACCTTCGTGTTATCATTCGTCTATTTTTTTATTTAGACGGGGCAGAGGACAGCGTCTGAATCAGTAAATTTTTTTTTACCTTCCTAGTTATGTTCAGCCTCACATCGGGTGTATTTCCTCTCTTCTCTGGATGCTACTTCACAAAATCACTAAAAATGTCGCCCTGGTCGACTTTTCCTCCCTGGAGGAGTTTGGAAACACATTAGTCGTTCTTTAATACGTGAGGTATGTATGCAACTCACAATGCCTGTAGGGTCAGTGGTGGTGGGGCTACATATACATGCCTGTAGATAATTGGTTCAGAGAACCATTTTTCTTTGTATTGGACTGACGAAGGCAATGTGTTGCGGAACGTTCCCACAGTAAAGATACCCAAGTGTTGCACATGTGTCTAATTTATGAACTAAACAAGCCTATCAGGATTTGATTATTTTGCCAAAACTCGTACTGATAAGACAGGTCATTTAGCTTGATAGCTTCATAATACACTCCTTACCCTTTCTGCGAGCGATGGTCTATCGTGTGCATTCCATTGCTCACCAGCAAGCAACACATACGCACATCAACACAACAAAACCTCAGAGTATTAGTGTGGGACTACCTGAGACACGAGCATACATGGACAAGCAAACACACATCGTGGACATGGACAAGCACAATACCTGTAGCTACACGGGGATGTGTTGTACGAGAGAGAGAGAGAGAGAGAGATAGGACACACGTCCTCTCCACTGCTGGTCGTGGCTACACTAACCCGCTGCACTACTCTTCCCTGCCACACCGAGCCGCTTCACCTAAAGCCAAGTCTTCACGGCTTGTCTTATCCACCTTGATTCACCAGGATGACAAAACACAATAGGGTGTTATTTTCCGTGTTTGTGCCTCTCGTATGTCAGGAATTTCGAAACCGGAATTTCGAAACCTGAATGTTATACACAGGGAAGACGTCACTGAGGCGAAATATTTGCTACGGTACACAAGAATGTAGCAGTTCAGCCTCTGGCGAAGTCACTCGTTCATACCCACAATATTCCCTAATATTATACAAACTTCTGACACCACCTATTTCTAGTACTTCGTATGTCATTAGTCTATTCACTAAGAGGCGGGGTTAACATTTCATTATTTATTTCTAGAAAAGTTGGATTTTTACGAGACTTTCCAACTGGGTTAGATAATGTGGGGGAAAGAAAACAGGTTATTTTGAAGCAGGTTTCTGGTCTCTGACACAAGCTGTGTTGCTGTCCAGTGAGTCTACCACCCTAACTAAACATCAGAGCGAGTACTGAAAGAGGTGCATCAATAAATATGCATAACACAAATAGTTTAATCAACAAAAGTGTGAAAATAATAGTGTGCCTTGTAGCAGGACTGAATGTATAAGTTATCATGACGTTTGTGTTAGCTAGTAGCTGACGTATTGACGAGCAGAGAGTGACGACAGAAGATAGGACACTCTCCACCTGCTGTCGATGGTACACTAACGCTGCATATACTTCTACACCTTGCCACATGTCTGATTCCACTACAGCGCATGTATAGTTGCTTTACCTGTACAATGAGACAATTAACACATAGTGATTACCTCAGCGTATTATGTGGACACTCTGACATGTACATGAATTGAACCGACATCTGACACTGACATAGTACACACAACCTGAAGTACACTGAGTCATATGTTGACAAGAAAGAGGTAGCATGACAGCCTCTACATCACTCGCAGTGACACACTACACTGCATTACCTTGCACACTACACCGCCATGTCTGATACACACTATTCACGTGACATGTACTGATGACATGACACACTGCACAATATTATGTAGTGGACACTACACGCTATGCAACACTCTTCACTGATCAGTGACCTACACCTGCTCATGTACTGAGACAGTCTAATGCTTTATCACACACTGAATTGACGTGATGACAACTACAACACTGAGCATGTACTAGTGACATCACTCTGTCATGACCCACAATATGTCCAACTATGAAACACTCTGACACACCTGAATTAGTACTGAGATGATCACTACACCTGTATTATGTACTCTACGACAAGTTGTACAGTCACTCTACAGCCTGCACATAGAATGTGTGACCAAATATTCAAACTCTACCTGCACATTTGATGCATCGCAGTATGTCACTACACTGCACGATATAACTTACACCTGCACATGTACTGAGTGGAACAACTTTACACCTGTACATCATTATGAGTGAGTCTACTCCTGACAGCGGTGACATGTATAAGAGTGCACCATGACTCTAACACTAGCTACATAGACTGAGTGACACACACCTGACATGTACTGAGTGTCACCTACACCTGCACATGTACTTGAGTGACACTACACCTGTCCATGTACTGAGTGACACACCTACACTGCACTATGTACTGAGTGAACACTCACTCACATTACTGAGTGCACATTACACTCCATGTACTGGTGACACACACCTACATTCCTGTACACTGTACTGAGTGACATCTCTACCTTACATGACTGAGTGACACTAACCTGCACATTGATACACTGATGTGTACGGACCCTACACCTGCACATGTATGAGTGACACTACACCTGCACATGTACTGAGTGACACTACAGCCATGCTGGTGACCTACACCTGCATGTACTGAGTGACACTACACCTGCACATGTACTGAGTGACACTACACCTGCCATGTACTGTGACACTACACTGCACATGTACTGAGTGACACACCCTACACCTGCACATGTACTGGATGACACACCCTACACCTGCACATGTACTGACACACTCTACACATGCACATGGACTGAGTGACACTACACCTGCACATGTACTGAGTGACACACTCTACACCTGCACATGTACTGAGTGACACACTCTACACCTGCACATGTACTGAGTGACACACTCTACACCTGCACATGTACTGAGTGACACTACACCTGCACATGTACTGAGTGACACTACACCTGCACATGTACTGAGTGACACTACACCTGCACATGTACTGAGTGTCACCCTACACCTGCACATGTATTGAGTGACACTACACCTGCACATGAACTGAGTGACACACTCTACACCTACACATGTACTGAGTGTCACTCTACACCTGCACATGTACTGAGTGTCACACTACACCTGCACATGTACTGAGTGTCACACTACACCTGCACATGTACTGAGTGTCACTCTACACCTGCACATGTACTGAGTGACACTCTACACCTGCACATGTACTGAGTGACACACTCTACACCTGCACATGTACTGAGTGACACCTACACCTGCACATGTACTGAGTGACACACACCTGCAATGAACTGAGTGCACACTAACTACATGTACTGAGTGTCACTCTACACCTGCACATGTACTGAGTGTCACACTACACCTGCACATGTACTGAGTGTCACTCTACACCTGCACATGTACTGAGTGTCACTCTACACCTGCACATGTACTGAGTGTCACATCTACACCTGCACATGTACTGAGTGTCACTCTACACCTGCACATGTACTGAGTGTCACACTACACCTGCACATGTACTGAGTGTCACACTACACCTGCACATGTACTGAGTGTCACTCTACACCTGCACATGTACTGAGTGTCACTCTACACCTGCACATGTACTGATGTACACTACCTGACACCTCACATGTACTGAGTGTCACTCTACACCTGCACATGTACTGAGTGTCACTCTACACCTGCACATGTACTGAGTGTCACCTACACCTGCACATGTAACTTGAGTGTCACTCTACACCTGCACATGTACTGAGTGTACTACAGCACATGTTGATCACTACACTGCACATGTACTGAGTGACTCACCACGTTGGTTCTACACCTGCGCATGTACTGAGTGTCACATCTACACCTGTCACATGTACTGAGTGTCACTCTCACACCTGCACATGTACTGAGTGTCACTCTACAACCTGCACATGTACTGAGTGTCACATACACCTGCACATGTACGAGTGTCAACTTACACCTGCCAGTACTGAGTGTCAGACTACACCTGCACATGTACTGAGTGTCACTCTACACCTGCAGCATGTACTGAGTGTCACTCTACACCTGCACATGTACTGAGTTGTCTCACACTGCACTGTACTGAGTTGTTCACTTTCACACTTGCACATGTACTGTGTCACACTACACCTTGCCAGTACTGAGTGTCTCATGCACGTACTGTTCACACACTGCTGGACTGTAGGCTGTCTACACGTGCAGTACTGTTGTTCACTCTTCACTTGTCAAGACGTTGTCAGACGTTTACACCTGCACATGTAGACGTGTCACACTACACTGACGTACTGAGTGTCAGCTTACACCTGCACATGTACGTTGTATCAGACGTTGTCAGTACGTTGTCTCACGGCACATGTTGAGTTGTTCACCTGCACGTACGAGTTGTTCACACTGCACATGTACTGTGTCACACTTATCAGACGTGCAATGTTCAGAGTGTTCAGACGTTGTTAGGACGTTGTTCAACTGTCAATTGTACTGTCAACGTTCAGCGTTTCAGGACTTGTTCAGACTTGTACCGACGTTGTTCAGACGTTGTTCAGACGTTGTCACTTCAGGACGTTTTCAGGACGTTGTTCAGGACGTTGTTTCAGGTCGTTTGTTCAATACGTTGTTCAGACGTTGTTCAGGACGTTGTTGGACGTGTCAGGACGTTGTTTCAGGACGTTGTTCAGGACGTTGTTCAGGACGTTGTTCAGGACGTTGTTCAGGACGTTGTTCAGGACGTTGTTCAGGACGTTGTTCAGGACGTTGTTCAGGACGTTGTTCAGGACGTTGTTCAGGACGTTGTTCAGGACGTTTTCGTTTTCAGGACGTTGTTCAGGACGTTGTTCAGGACGTTGTTCAGGACGTTGTTCAGGACGTTGTTCAGGACGTTGTTCAGGACGTTGTTCAGGACGTTGTTCAGGACGTTGTTCAGGACGTTGTTCAGGACGTTGTTCAGGACGTTGTTCAGACGTTGTTCAGGACGTTGTTCAGGACGTTGTTCAGGACGTTGTTCAGGACGTTGTTCAGGACGTTGTTCGGAGTTGTCGACGTTGTTCAGACGTTGTTCAGGACGTTGTTCAGGACGTTGTTCAGGACGTTGTTTCAGGACGTTGTTCAGTGTAACGTTGTTCAGGACGTTTGTTCAGGACGTTGTTCAGGACGTTGTTCAGGACGTTGTTCAGGACGTTGTTCAGACGTTGTTCGGACGTTTGTTTAGGACGTTGTTCAGACGTTGTTCAGACGTTTGTTCAGGACGTTTGTTAGGACGTTGTGTTGGACGTTGTTCAGGACGTTGTTCAGGACGTTGTTTCAGGACGTTTGTTATGGACGTTGTTCAGTATCGTTGTTCAGGCGTTGTTCAGTGTTGTTCAGGAGTTGTTCAGTGTTGTTGGTTTTCAGAGACGGTTGTTCAGATCGTTGTTCAGGTCTGTTGTTCAGGCGTTGTTAGGACGTTGTTCGTGTTTGTTCAGTACGTTGTTGGTAGTTGTTCAGGACGTTTGTTCAGAGTTGTTTCAGGACTTGTTCAGTCGTTTGTTGTGTTGTTCAGTACGTTGTTGGAGTTGTTAGAGTTGTTCAGACGTTGTTCAGGACGTTGTTTCGACGTTGTTCAGGACGTTGTTCGGACGTTTGTTCAGTTGTTAGTTGTTCAGTGTTGTTCAGGTAGTTGTTAGGACGTTTGTTCAGACGTTGTGTTCAGTTGTAGCGTTGTTCAGACGTTGTTCAGTTGTTGCGTTGTTCAGTACGTTGTTCAGTGACATTGTCAGGACGTTGTTCGGATTGCCAGACGTTTGTTCAGACGTTGTTCGACGTTGTTCAGGACGTTGTTCAGACGTTGT